ACGACACTGCGGAAAGGGGACGCTTTGTATGTTAGTTCTCGCGCCATATCCCAAAGGGACGCATGCGCTTAAATGATTACAATCAATCAATCAATCAATCAATATTGCGTACTTTCGAGGCGACCTCAATTGCCCACATCGCCCGGAGTCTGAGAGAGAGAACGGAGAACGAAGAGAGAGAATGGGCAGCCAAAATGTGCAGGAAATACTATCCACAGAGATTCAAACTCCCCCGAACGTGGAAGCCAGACTGGAGAAGGCAACAGGAGAGCTGTGGAAAGACCTAAAGCATGGTGGCTTCACAAAAAAGACATGCGCTCTCTACTATGTTTGCAGAACGGAGGGCCACAGTGGCCATTCTGAACTACTTGGAAACGACGAACGTGGGAAGAGAGAGAGAGGAGAATCGGGTGGAAGAATGGGGGTGGGAGCAGCAGGAGGAGGGAGAAGCTGGAGCAGAGGAAGAATGAGAAAGAAGTGGGAGATGCCGAGAGGAGGAAATGAAGAGTGGAGAGGAGAGAATACAAATACCACAACGGAAAGAAAGAGGAGAGAACGTTCTCGGCAGCGTGCTAGCACAACTCAAAAGGCGGCCATCGCCAGAGCATAAGGCCGGCGAGAAGCAGGGTCGACAGTGGACGAAATTCTATGTATGCAGAAGGCTTGTAAGAAGCGGAATTAAAGGGGGGGGGGCGGAAGCTGTAGAGTAGTTGACGCGCCATATCCCAAATGGACGCATCCGCTTAAATGATATCAATCAATCAATCGATCAATCAGTATTGCGTACATTATCGATCTACACCACAACGCTAATGGTGGATGGGTTGCGAATGTCCTTGAGCCATAGTCAGGTGAATCTACTCCACAATCCATTCTACACCATCCACGATATCTACGATCTCCAGAAACGATTTTCGTGTTGGTTACGCAAGTACTGTGAGGCAAACAACCGGGAATCCGAATCGCAGTGGTGAGTCGGAACAGGTTGTCAGGGTCCACACCCACACCCACAACGTGACATACAGGGAGATACAGAGATGGATGGATAAATGCGCACTGTGATCGGCGTGGGTTACGCACCGATCTTGCCACCGAAGACGGGAAGCCGGTTGGGTTGGGTTGGAATAGTGGTGCTCACTGGAGGGCGGGAAGTGGAAGAGCGAGGGGTGGTAGGGAGAAAGATGGAGATGGAGATGAAGGGACGGTGAATTTATTTGTACGAGTGCATGGAGTATACTATACGTTTGTAAAGGTAAAGGTAATAGCAATACTTACAATAGTAGAAGGAGAAGTAGTACAAGGAGAAGTGGAAGACAAAATCATCAACAACATTGCTCTCCCCAACGCCGCGCAAAGAATAACGCAGAATATATGTAAAAGACCACAATCGGCCTACAAAGAACGAAAGAACGAAAGAAAGCCCAGAAAGCTCTCCAGAAGGAAGTACCACCACCTACATCGCCAACCCCAGCTCCCTCACCGATCCTGCACAATCACCGTCTCGCCCCTCGCATTCTTCCCGACTGTCAACCTCGCACTAACACTCCTACTCCTCCTCTTCCTCCTCTCCTTCCTCGCAACCTCCTCCGCCTTCAGCAACATCTCATTCGCTCTCCTCCGCGCCTTCAGCGCCTCCTTCTGATCCAGCAACAACCCCGTCTCAATTGCCCTCTTCTCCTTCAACGCCGCCACATGCTGTGCTTTCAACGCCCTCTCTTCCGCCTCCGCTACTTTCCTGCCAGGCGTCTTTCCCGTGAAGAGGTGCGGAGTCAGGTCAATTGTTTTCGCGGAGACGAGCTTGGGGGTGGAGGGCCCGGGGGGCTGGAGAGGTTCCACGCGGGTCGTGGTGGTGGTTTGGTATGCTGGGGGTTCACCTGGGTGGTTTACGACGGCGGTGGTGGTGGTTTCGACTGGACCAAGGACTGGAGGGGGAGGAGCAGGAGGCGGGGTGATCATTAACCGTGGAGAACGGGCATTGGTTTCATGGATGATGTAGTCACGGTCAGAGGATATGGGGCGCTCGACGTAGGTGACAGGTTCGGAGAATTCGGAGATGGAGTAGACGTCGTCCCTGGAGGGATGGAAGGGGGAATCGGGGTCGACTTCGTGCACTAATGCCTCCTCGTGGAATGAGACCGCCTTGCGAGCCCGGGAGTGGGAGCGCGACCGTGACCGAGTGAGAGACCGGCGAGACCGCGAGTGATGTCGTGATCGAGAGCGGTGGTGGTGACGATGGCGGGATGATGAGGTAGACCGCCGCTGCGAGTCGACACTGATTGTGCGCGTGAGCGAGCGTGAGCGATCCGAGGAGACTGTAGAGATGGGGTTAGATGGGTTTCTCGGTATGGTGAAGAGAATCATTGAAGGAACAAGAAACAAGGGGAAGTACTGTAGACTCACGTCGCAGCTGAGCCGTCATATCGATGAGCTCGTCGATTTCGGGCCGGCGCAGTGCCTGGAGAACAACAATGGAGCCGTTCTCCTCGATTGTGTAGGGATACCGCATTCTATCGACTGCCTCTTCTGCTACCAACCGAAGTGGGAACTTGGTCCGTCCTTTACGAGGGGCATCGAAATCGCCTTCATGACGACGACTCATCTCTCGTCTGGCGTAGTTGTAGTTGCCGTGATATGCGCTTCGCGGGGGTGAGCTGCCGTAAATGCTCTTGGAATACTCGGACCCTCCACGAGAGGATAGGGATCCCCGTCTTCCAGATTTGATTGACGAACCAGGCATAACAATGGTTCGACCAGAACGGTGCATTGGAGATCGATCCCTTGTGGTTTGTTGGA